TTCGGAGAGCATACTATCTCAAAATATATTTGCTAATATATACACTCATACATTATCTCCGCGCTGCTTCATCTTTATGTTGCTGCAATCACTCGGCATTTGATTGATACATTTTTAATGTGCGTGCAAGTTTGCCCAACCACTTTTATTCATATTTGCAACTTTTTTTGAAAGCCAGTAATTGCGCATAACTTCATTCCAATCCCAGTCACCCCACAAATGTTGAAATGCATGTATGTATGAGGTGCGTATATATACGATATATTATATATACGAGTATAAGCATTGCATATGTGTATAGGTGCGCACTTAACGCGATTGAGCGTGGGGAATACCGTCGGATATCTGCAGATAGCGTGAAAGTGTATAATAAATGAGAGCGATGAATATTTTAGGCTCCTTTGAAATGCATACAGTTGTGAAATTACATTTGATAGTCTTATTTTATAAACGAGTGCGAGTGTGTGGGTGCGTACATGGCATATCGAAATTTTAAAGCTATCGCCAAGGTGTGCGGCAGAGAAAATGAGTGTGGTGATATATTATAATATGTGGTAGTGCTATATTAAATCTCAAAGAGCTATACATTTCGATACTGCATGATAGTGTTTGTAGGTAGATTTGTGAAAAAAAATTTAAGCGAATCAAGGAAAAAAGTTTTTGTAATATATGTATATGATTTCAGCGCAATATAACGTATTTATATAAATTTTTAGAAACGAACATAAACTTTTTTTTTTTAGTTAATTAATTCATTTCTCATACAAAAATCAGGTCCCTGCATGGTATTAAAGCCTTTTCAGGGCAATTTATCATGCAAAACTCTGGTCTTTACACGGTTTTGGCTGTTTTAAACTTCAATTTCCTAAAAATTACAATAACGACATAACAGTGTTAGAATAATAACATGCGACTTTGTGGTGTCCGTACAGCCAGTCAGTTTAAACTCAAGATCTCTCAACAGTTTTTTGTTATACAAATCATTAAAGTTGATTTTAACAGTTCAGTTAGTAAATTCCAACTCATAGCTTCTTGAAACGTTCGTTCATATCGCTTAACATGTTGTTGTACATTAAGCTTGAGCGAAGTAAGTCACTTTAAACTCAAAATCTCTTAAACGCTTCAGTAAGCGAACTTATCACTCGTTGACTAGTGGAAAACTTTAAACTCGTGTTTATGGTGTCAGCGCAGACTTGCATTTTTGTAAGTTCTGTGTTTAATCGTTTCAATGGGAGCACATAAAAATTATTTATAAAGTCAGAAAATTAATGATTCGATTTATATTCGATTTGGATTTATGCTGTTAATTCATTCATGTTAGTTTAAACTCATTATTTTATTAAACACAGAACATTAAACAACAGTATGTGTTGTCAAGTTAGTGAGTAAGCTCAAACTCATATTTACTTAAACACTGCAGTAAGTTCTGAACACTTGTTAAAAAACATAAAATTTTAAACACGAGTTTATGGCGCAACATCAGCGTATTGACAACCGTGGCATATGCAAATACTGGAATAAGTATGAGATGAAAAAAATTGGCAACAACGCTGAACTGACATTTATTACCAGCAAAGTGTCATATCATTTTGCAATTTGCGCAACCTTAACTGTACCTCAAGAACAATGTAAAAGTGAAGTATTTATCATATACAAAACGCTGTCCTCCTGACAATGGCCAACACAAATACTCGCACACTTTTGTTACGCCGATTCCCGGGGCAAGTTTCAATGCGTGAGCGGTCAAGGCGTTCAAGTGAAGGCAACTATGTTAGCGGTGACGGTAGCAAACTTTGTAAATCGTCAAACGACCGAAAGCATGCAACAAAAAACCAAAAAAAATAAAAAAAAAACACGACTGCAAGTGTGGCGGAACATTTAAACGCTGCACACAATTAAACTTTGACTTTGTACGCAGGTTTAGAGCGGAAATATGTACATATGTAAATGAATGTGCTTAGCACAACAATAACGAGCACTCTGCGTCCCGCGCACAGCAGCTGAAGGAGTGAACACCTGGAAGTGGCATGTTGTAGCGCGCCAAGTGGTGTAGAGTTAACAAAATGAAGCAAAAACTAACTGTTAAACGACGGAAGCGGGTGGCTGGTGTATGGGACAGTGTACGTATGTGTGTGTGTGTGTGTTTTTTTTAGTGGGCTGAGGTTGTGGCACTAACTTTGCTTGTTTCTCTATTGTTTGTTTGTCATATCTAAAAGTAACTTTTATTTGAGAGCAAGGAACTAAAAGGCCAACAGCCCTAGGGGCGATTGTTCGTGTATGCGCTTGTTTATGTACGTATGCGTGTGTATTAGTAGGGGTAGCATGCATAAGTTCCACAACTAAACTTTTCCTGCTTACAACAAAATAAAAAAAATCAGCTTTGTTGTTGTTGTGTGTGTATGTGTATTTGTAGGTGACTATCAAACTTTGTTGACCGGTTTGAATGAAATAAATAACGAAAAGTGGCGCTGTCAGTAGTTAGAATGTAAACCTGACACTTGCCACTTTGCCGCAAGAAGAAAATTTGACATTGAAATGTTTAAATGTATATACATTGAAATATATATATATATAGATACTCATACATACATACATACACCGCCATTAACAAACTCACGAAAAAAGTTGTAAAACTTCAAAGTATTCAGCGCTGACGTGACTACCGTATACCAAATTTACTTTCCATCCAGCGAAAATTATTTGCGTTTGCTGTTAAAAAGTTTGCGTCCGTTTGCCACGCAGACTTGAATTACCGTTGCGGCAAAAGTTTACGCACTTGATTACTTATAATCATGACAACTTGAATGATTCATATTACAGACACTACGTGGCGTGTCGTGTACGTTCGCTGCCGTTAGTATAGCGTATGAAATATTAATTAGAAGTGCCGAGAAAAGTCAAAAGCTAAAATTTTTTATGCACAAAAAATTGTTTGGCAGTCAGCTGCAAGTAATATTTATTTATTAATCACTGTAAGCTAATGGCGGAGCGTTAATTCATGCGCGGCAGAGAGTGTAGTGACAAAGAGAATATTTATTTTTATAATTTGTAAGTGAATTTATAATTTAGCAATGAAAAAAATAATAACTTGAAAGTAATATCTCAAATGAAAGAATTGCCCTACTTAATGTCGAAATAATAAAAAAGATGCTGCCAAAATATATATACGTTAAAAATATTAAACTATATCCTGCGTCCAATTACAGCAATTATGAAGTAGCTACAGTAGACTTATGACGTGTATACCACAAGCCACACGAACCGTTGTAAAATTGAAAACAAACACAGAAAAATTGTCAAAATATTTTAAGCTCTTACACGATAAAGGCGATTTAATATTGAAAATTGACGAAGCATTAACCTAGCAGAAAATGAAGTCTAAAAACAACACGCACACAACCACACTTACATACACTATCAATAAATTTTCGCAGGCACTCTTGAAACCACTTTTACACCTTCATCACTTTTACTTAAAAATCCACACTAACACACGCGCGCATTACGCAGCTTTGTTATTTTTTATTTTTAGCTTTTTGTTATCGAAAATGATCGCTTCGCAAGGACACTTAAGCATTTCAAATAAAAAGAGTGCCATTAAAGTTTTAAGCACGCTTCACAACTGTTACGTAGCGTCTGTGTTGTTGTCTCATAGCACAGTTGTCGCATACAGCTTCGCCCAACATTATTTACCACAACTTGCGTTCGCTGTAATTTGCACTTAAAAACTTTTATAGCATACTTTAAGGCGATTAATAGCACAATGTAACTGATTATGCACTTGATTGTACATGCACTACGTCATAATTTGAATGGAACAACCAACTAAATTGATATGTAGTTGTTGCTCTTGTTTGGAAAATTAAATGCTATACGGAAAATAAAAGTTGTGGATTTATGGGAAATTGCTGGTTTTATAAGAAATTCCTATGCGTAGATTTTTTTTTTAATTTTGTAGAAAAAATTTAGGTAAATTTTGTATGAAGGTTTTCCGATTTCTACATGTTAAAGTAGCTTAGGCTGTTCGATCCCTAAAATCGTAATATGACCTGTAATAACGTCTTCAACCAGGAAAAAGCAGCCGTTTCTGAGTTTGCGGAGCACACTAAATCTCTAGCGCTTTTCTTCGGGCCAGAAGGATTTTAAAACTACGCGTGCAAAGCTATTGTCAAATTAAAGAAGCAAGCGAAGTTCTAACATGTCTTCAGTTTACTGATAATGAGACAGTTGCGCCTTTTCTTGCAACTTCGTCCGTTTGACAATTTCGTCTTGGCTAGGCATCTATATCAATCTTGGCATGAAAGACGTCACTTCTATACCTTATCTAATTTAATACAAAAGGTCTAGAATATATGAAAAGCGTATACATTTTTTGAGGTTAGAAGGTGCAACTTTAATATTGAAAAATACGTAAAAACCTAAAATAGCGTTAAAACGGGTCTACGTAATAGAATGGACAAGGAAATTTATCGATCCAAAGACTATCAAACTGGCCAGTATATTCAAAGCCTTGCGAACAATGCTCGGAGGGCATATTATGTGTATTAAACGGATACCGGCAATGGCTTCGAAGGTGCACGGGAACCTGATCTAACTACTTTCAAAGGACATTATATAACATTGACCTAAAAAATGTGTACGAATTTAGATCTTTCGGATTATACCCAGAAACCGTTTTACGTAGCTCTTGTATGAATGTAATCAGTTGAAAATCAGAAATATTTGGATAAGACTGGCATCTAGAAACTTTGGGAAAATATATATATACGAGTATACGAGCATTATATTTCTTGTAGTTTTGTTTACAGAACATAAGCGATACCCAAACCAAAACATCTTTCCCTAAATTTATTCATAAACAATGCATGAGCTCATCTATTCAGTATCATGCTTGATCATCGGGGACTTAAAGTTCACAGAGAATGGATATTATATTCTAAGATATGAAAGGCAAGGATAACAGCCTCAATTGTTCGGTTACATATATCTAGAACACTTACCTCTTCTTCATTGCTGGCCGTATTCACTGAGTCCATGCTTTGCGATAATCCCAATGGTGCTAGAGCCATTTGATTTTCCATTGTCGAGCTGTTGGTAATGATTGTGTTGCTGTTGTTGTTGTTGTTGCTGTTGCTACTACTACTAATTGGACTGCTGCTCAACACACTGGTATTGTTATTGTTGTCGTGCGTATTAAGTGCTGCTGTCGCTGCCGCCGGTGACGGTGTAGTCGATGCAGAGGATGTGTTCGAATGTGACGAAGTTTCGTTGACCGAATTGGCTGCTAGGGCAGCAACAGCTGTGGCTGTTTGAGCGCCGACACTGGCGTTTGTAACTGATGTTGCTGTTGTAGTTGTTGTATTTGCTGTTGGCGCTGTTGCGGTTAGCGATGTGCCGCTGTTGGATGTGCTGCTAACTGTACTGGCACTACTGATGATCAAATGCTGTTGTTGCTGTTGCTGTTGTGCCTGCAATTGCTGACGCAATGACTGCTGTTGTTGTTGCTGTTGCTGTTGCTGCTGATAAACGTGCTGCTGACTCAGCGAATGCTGTGTGTGATGATGATGATGCTGTTTTTGTTGCTGTTGCGCCTGTTGCTGTAAAACAACGTGCTGCTGATGTGCGGCGGCAGCAGCCACGGCAGCCGCTGCGGCCGGTGACAATGAATGCGATGCAGCTGCAACCGAATGCAAATGCTGATTTAACAATGCAGCAGCCGAGGAATTATAATGTTGGGCGGCGACAGCGATGCGTTGTTGCTGTGCTGCGGCGGCGGCAGCTGCAGCTGCGGCAGCGACCTGTGTGTGGTGGTGGTGTTGGTGGTGTTGATGTGTATTGACGGCGGCAGTGGCGGCGTATTGGGCAGCAGCGGCGGCAGCGGCGGGATTAAAGGTTAATTGATGACCGGCCTTGAGAGCGACTGCGGCGGCTGGTGTGGCGGCGTACTGGACTTGTGGTGTCAGTTGGGCGGCGGGTATGACCGAAACGGCGGTGGCGCACTGTCGCTTGGGCGATAACACCTGTGGGGCACTCGCTGGCGTTTGCGGCAGCGTTGGCCTGCGTTTAATCGCAATCGACGAAATGGTGATGGCTTTTTTCAAAACGTTTGACTGGGGTGTAGTGATCTTGTGCCGTTTGTCTATGTGCTACTAGATGCGCTCACGTTCACTCTACTTGCTGTGCTGGCTTGCGAACGAATCTCAAGCGTTACGCCTTATGATATACGAATTTGTTAAATGGAAAAGTATAGTAGTACCCTTCAATTTGTACATGGGAAATTCAGCACAACTGTAAATATAAAAAATAAACAGCAAATGAAAGAAACTACAGTGGTCTTCTTGGTATATATAGGTAAGTAAATCACTTTAAGTACTTGAAAAACTCCAATTGGTTCTAATTCTAAAAATCAAAATGACATTATTGTCAACTAATGTACGCGTAATGTTCAAAATAATTCAGATTTTCGCCATAAATTTCTTGCAAACTCATCTCGCTGTCCATTAATATCAACTGCCACTTTCTATAGCCCCGCTTAAATTGGTTGCGGTCGCTACTACAAACTAGCGTAATATGCAGTTTCACCATTGTACGTGGCAGGTATGCTTGCGGCCACACTAATCGCCTCAGATTATTATCCTTACCGCAATGGAAAAGCATTTCGCGTGCCAGCATTCAATTTATCAACGCTCATGAATTTCTCATTGTCGGTTGGAAAGTATTTACCTGCGGGATTATAGGTTTGCGATTTTCTCTACATGTTATATACAACCTTATACCGTGGCTTGTAAGAGCAATGAGCTCGATTTAGTATTTAATTCGAACTAGTTACTTAAATTTTTTAAGAATATATAGAGATGTAACTTTTTCAAAAACAACAAGAAAAAACGTTAACTTCGGCTGCACCGTAGCTGATATACCTTCCCATATAAAGAAGTTTCATTGGAATTACTAAACTTTGGTGGTTCAGTTTGTATGACAGTTATATGCTATATTAGTTCGATCTGAAAAATTTCTTCAGATATCACGGCGTTGCTTCGAGAAATAGTAAATGCCAAATTTGGTGAAAATATCTTCTCAAATCAAAAATTTTTTCATACAAGAACTGAAGTTTTATTGTTCAGTTTGTATGACAGCTATATGCTATAGTTGTCCATTATCGGCAGCTCCGGCAAAGAAAAGGATGTATTTGAAATTTCGATATCTCAAAAACTGAGGGACTAGTTCGCGTATATTTTTAATTTTAAAATTTCCCTTATTTACTGAACACACCTTGTATGTACCATGTAGAATCTCCGACATATCCTTCTGGGTGTTAAACGCACTTCGCTTATTTAATGTACCCTGTTTAGGGTTAAAAAATATAACCAAATTTATAAATATTCCAAGTAGATCAAGGGGAAGAGAGCTCACCTATTGTTCGGCCAAAAAACTATTAATTTAAATACTAATAAATGACATACGCTGCAATTAAATTTTCCTCTTTCATTGTAAATTTTTGTAGCATGAGATAATAACGTATGAGTATAACTCACATGCGATATTTTTTATAATTTTTTTTAAATCATTAAATATCACTTAATCGTTTAGTTATGAAAGTATTTCATGAAATTTCATGAATAACATAATTCTAGCGAGCCTCTGGAAAAGTTTTATTGTTAATTATTTGATTTTTACAATACCAATAACATAAATGTAATCAAGTAAAGTAATTAGGAAGCTGCAGCAGTCAGAAATGTTAAATTCAAAGATATAAAATTCGCAATTTGCGAAATATACTAATAACTAAGTTTAAGTACGATATATTATATTTCTTTGATTAAACGCTTGTTAGATCAAAAAGTAATCGATCGCACTGATACAGTAGTCGAACCCATGGAATATAATTTTGCTGACAAACTGTGTTCTTTAATATTTAAAACCAATAAAAGAAATTAATGATGTCCTTGCAACGCTGCATTACGTACTCATTAGATGTGTATATGTTGTGCAACTGAAGTGCTTTTACGCAAATAGTTACATACAAGCACACAGGAATATTTTGCAATAAATAATAATAAATAATATCTGGAATTGAATTTTCCAGCAAACTCAACTCTGTTGTCATTCAATGCCAGCACACACATCAACTGAACGATCAGCCGCTTCAGATGAGTAGCGTGATTTTTGCATATTTTCCTACGCAAAGAACTGCTGTGTTTGTAAAATTTATTATTTCTGTTATTTTTATATTATTTGCTTTTTTTTTTGCCTCCCCAATCACCCACCCACTTATAAGTTGAACGCTGAGTGCGTTTGCTGACATTATAATCGCTCTGACTGTCATATCTGTGTCGCAATATACGAGTACATCAGCAAGTCTGTCAACTAATGTGGATATGTAAAGTGTATGTATGTATGTATGCAAATAGCAGCTGAGGCTTCCGCTCAGTATGTGCATATATTTGGTTTATCCACGCTTTAATGATATTCGAACTTATTGTCATGCGCTCATTGCATATGAACTCATTGTTTTCATTACGAAGCTATCAACATTGGCGAAAGGTACGAAAGTGTACATGTGTATGTGTGTGTACATTTGGTGGCCACCCACACAAAAGCTATAAGTACAATCACAGTATTGAGCGTCCCATAGTTTGTGAACTAATGACTTATGCAGTGTTTCGCTCCACTTTTTTGTTTTTATTTTCATTAAGTTTTCTTTTATGTTTTCTCTCTTTTGGAGGCGCATATTTTGTGTCTGCTCGTCTTTTTAAATAACGTATTTGTATGTGATAGTATTAAATATTTATGAAATCTGTATATTGTATACGAAATTATTATATTTGTTGCTTGTTTTCATATGCAAAATATGCGCGAAAGGTTTCGAGCGGTATCGAGTGTAAGTAAATTGAATTTGAAGTAGCGCGGCATGCAATTTGAGGCAGTCTACAACTTAGAAATTTACCATAGAAAACGCATTATAATTATTACAAATATAGTTGAACGATAAAGAAAGACTTTCTGACACTAAAGCCAATGTTGTAAACAGTCTCTTCAACATTAATGCATTGAAAGCAGTGTACGACAGAGCGATTCAAATACAAGTAGATATCGACAGATCTGTCAACAGTGTAAGCATTATTATGGTACAAGAAGGAAGCATTTATAACACTAAAAAAGAACCGCTAATTTAGCTCCTCTTATGGAGCTTAATAGTAAACTGATTTCCAGAGAGCAAAGGTATAAATGGAATAACTGTTTATTCAAGAAAGTTCCGTCATGTTTTTTCACTGGTAATTTCACTCGCAATCCATGCTGGGATTTTGTGTTTATTTAGTTTTTTTTTACAGAAAGCGAAGAGCAAGCAAAACATAGATAACGGTTTTTTTGACAGTTGTAATACTTTTAACCACTGAGAAAAATAATATGGCAATTATGCAGCTAGAGAATACATTTCATAATTTTACTATAGACGACCAGATTGGTAGAGTTTTGAAACTGTAGAAATAATTCTCAGCTCGAATTTCGGGAACTTGACGATATTGCGTGACATTGTTTTTCCGCCACTTCTTCAAACTTTTATGCACCAAAGTGAGTAAAGACTTTTCTTCAAGTATGATGTAATTTACGTCATTATAATGAGCTTAGATTGTAGCTCTCTTATCTAATAAATTCTAATCTCAGAGTAGTTTTCACTTTCTATGAAGAATGAATGAATCTTGGCAGGTCTCAGCAACCATTTATAATTTGTGGCTTAATTTTGTTCGACAAATGAAGGGTCTCATAAGTTTTAAGTGGCCTTCTCATGATAGCAATGCTCTTGAGATCGCCACTTATACTTTCTAGATGATTTGATTTTATTCCAATCTTTGTTTAGCCTTTTGAGAATCCTATTTTCGTGTGATTGCGTACAAATCTATTAGTATTTAATTAAAATTCTTACAATTCTCATACAAAATAATATACAACAGTTAGTAAAAACTTAATTTATAATTCTTTCTTTATCAATTCATTTATTTTCTCTACTATGAGCATTGTTGTGGTGGAAACTGTAATTAATTTTTTCTCAACTTCAGATATTGAACACTTTTTTGCTTAGCAATTTTCAACTCAATATTGAGTAATTGTTTACAACTTCCTGTTGTGTGCTGTTTTATTGAATTTAGGTTTTTACAGCAAGCTCTTTGTGCGGTAACGTAAATATGTACATATACAAGTACATTAGAGCGTTTCATTTTTTGAATTTAATACCGGTTTCAAGCTAGCGATTTTGTTTATTTTCACTTTCGTTATTAAGTATTTATTAAAGGACTATTCTGCAAAATTACAAGCTCTTAGCTTTTCAATTAAAGGCAGGCAGTCGGAAAGCAAATGACGAAGAAATTTTTATAAACCCGAAAAAAAATTTCACTTGTTTAGTCGCTAGCTCGAAACCGGTTTTAGACACATATTCTCTTAAGCAAAGGTGTTCAAAATGATCCGTTAAACATATCATACGCGATTTTTCCGTTTTTTTGGCTACCTATAAAACAACCCGCTCTTATATACATACAACTATAAAAAGGATTAATCGTATTGAGTTTAAGAATCTACACAAAAGATGTCTTGCGTAATTTCCAATAACATTTGTTGTTTGGTTTTAAAGAAAATTCACAATTTTCAAAATGTATTATTTTCTAAAAATATTCGTAAATTTGCTTTAACGAAATTGATTTTTGCTATTAAAAGAACACTACACTTGTCAAACACACAAACTTTTTGTCAAACTGTGAATGCAAAATGTCAACTGGACCCCTAATGTCAACGATAAAAGTAAACTGACAATTTGTGTGTGAACGCTATATATATATGTATGTAAATAAAGAAGCAAAACAAAAAGTTTATCTGCGCTTAGTGACAGAAAAAAGTCGAGCGAAAACACAACAGCATTTTATATTGACTTAAAGTAACTTAGAGTACTTTGCTTCATGTAAAATTTGCATACAAGCAAAGGAACCACCGAACGTACTTAATAAGCTACAAAATATGATTACACAAAAAATTCAACTTCAACGAGAAAACAAAAATGTGACGACAACAACAAACACCCTCGGATTCGCGTGATGCGGCACGTCGCAGTAAATCTCAGCCAATTTGGATAAAACCACTTGGCGAAAAATGCAAAATT